GGTTTGTTTTACTTTCTGCTCATCTACTAAACTAAGGGATGTTACCCTGCAGCAATATGTGATAGTATTCTTTTGGTGTTTTGCAATTAAAGGCTCCAACATAGCATAGCTAGAGGGTTTCAAAACAGATCATGCAGTGATTCACGCAGTGTGAAAAGGAGGAACTGGTCTGATGGTACTGTTCACAAAACAAATATACAATATGTATTGATGTTGTTTCATTTGCAGCTTTGAGTAAGTTCGTTGTATCCCCTGCAATTCTCAAACTGGCAAGAATAAATGCATTTCAAAAGTACCATTGGCTAAAATTGTTTGGGATATCCTGTGGTTGTAAATAGTGCTTTATAAATAAAAGCTCTTTCCCTTCTTTTCTGTGGAGATGAGTGTGGCTCTCCATTAGACTAAATCAAGCATGAACTCATTATAAAGCACTGCCAGGAATAAAGCTACATGCCAAACACAATATTACTAGAAATTATAAATGCTTCTACAACCAGAATTCATATTATTTCTCCAACAAGAAAACTTTTGTTGTTATGTTTAAACATTACCCATGGTTCTGTGATTCTAGTCATCGTCACACACTCTTTGGATGCACAGTTTTCATTGGGAATGAAAGGTCTGAATCTTAAATAATCTGATTTCCAAGTTACAAGTTATAAAATTAATTCTTGAATTTGGTTTAAAACAATGACCTGCTGTCCAAATGGAGACAATGAGGAAAGAGTTGGTTAGTGGAAGAAGTTGGATAGTTCATTCAAAGAGCAAGCGTGAGGAGTGGAGGACCATCCCTCCAAATGGTATGATGCTCTGGGAATGATAAACTAATGACCTACTAAATAGTTATAAAAATGTGTGAGTTTATTCCCAAAATCAACATTAGGAACCACTGGATCAATCGGATTTATAATTTCCTTTTGTGTAGATCAGTTTGTAGATCATGGTGTCAAAAACCACATTTTAAAAATTAAGATTTTGGTTTTCAGGAAAATAAACCAATTTGTTTAACTTCTAAAGCCCAATCATAAAAAAAAGAAAATGAAAACAGAAATGCTGGAAATGCACAACCATATCTGAGAGTAAGATAGTGTAAAGTAATTGCATTTCTCTGGCTTGTGTTTCGAACCCTAATATAGAAAGAAATCAGATCAGAACAAATCATTGCTATCAAATCACCATTTACTTTAGAGAAAAAGATTGAAGATCTCACAGCTAGTCATGATTGAGCTGCAAATTGAAAGTTTCTTCCTTTATAGTCTTATCGGCTACAATTTAATTGAGGCAACTATTGAAAACATTATAGTGTTAGCAATGTCCAAATTTGTGTCCACCCATTATGGGTGTTGGTGGCTAGAGTTTTCACAGGGCTTTGAGTTCTGTTACAAGATTTGAGTTGTTTCCACTGTAAGTGATCTCAAATGATGTACTGTACAATGCATAAAAGGAAGGGACAGCTAAAGATGCAAGTTCAGCTGTATCCCACAGAGTGGTGAATACAACACTGGACATGAACATGAACTGAATAAAAAGTGAACAGAAAGAAAATATTGTTTCCTCCACAATAAAACAAGTGTCATTAACTTCCCTGTAACACTGAATACATGCCAACCGTAAGGTGTGTCAGTACATTTCTGACTAAGTACATCTCTGAATAGGCAAATCTCAACAAATAATGATGCTGCAAGTGAAAAGCATGCAATGTAAAATATTTACAGGTGAAATTTAATTTTGGGAATCACCTGCACCACCTTTGCCCTCTCTCGTCTATTGGTAATATATTGGGTAGAATTGTTTCTGACCATATGCAGCGTTTCCCTATTTTACCAGGAGGCTCCTACATAGCCAACCTGTAGTTATAACATTGTTAGCTGATGGTGGGCTTCAGCAATGAAATGCATCCCTGTCACTTATCTGCATATATTTCCCCTGCATGCCAGTGGCACTTTAAAAATGAATTGTAATTACCTTAGAAATGGCAAAAAGCAATGGAAATGCCACTCACTTCCATTTAAGCAATAAGGAATGACATACTGTTGACAAAATCCCCTCGAAAGAGTTCTTTTTAAAGCAGAGGCAATAGTTCATATTACTGAATGATCCATGACGGATAACTTAAATAATTTAGAAGCTCTGAAAAAATGTGTATCTCGGCAGTAATGATAATCATGCAACTTGAAATATAATCCTACCTTTACTTTCCCATAGCTCTAAGTTATAATGGCCTAACTTTCAATTCAGTGCGGAAAGCTCTGAAGCAATATAATCACATCACCTTTGACAATTGCATAATTACACAAATAATTTTAAGTTAAGATATGCCTAGGGAAAATAAATTCAATCAAAATGGAATTTGTTATGCCACAATTTGCATTTTACTATTTGATAAAGACCTAAGCTTCTAGCTGGTGAACATAGGGTTTTGAGGTTGGTTGGCTTGCCAAGCTGGTTTGTTGTTCCACAGACGTTTCATTACCGTGCTTGGTAACATCCTCAGTGCAGCCTCTGATGAAGCGTCGGTGTGTTTTCCCGCCTGGTTTTTAAACTCTGGGGTCCGTTGCGATGGATTGAGATGACTCACGAGAATTCCTGGAAGCATGGCACTCCACAAAGCATGCTATTAATAAACAAATTGAACTCAAACCCATATACATTCCACTATGGAGGAAACCCAGAGGTGAGGCAATCCATCGCAACAGACCCCAGAGTTTAAAACCCAGGCGGGAAAACACACCGACGCTTCATCAGAGGCTGCACTGAGGATGTTACCAAGCATGGTAACGAAACGTCTGCGGAACAACAAACCAGCTTGGCGAGCCAACCAACCTCAACACCCACAACCTGAGCTACAGATCTACTCCAAAACCTTAGAACATAGGGTTTATTTACGTTTCTTTTCACCACTTCTTTCCACCTTTTTCTCACTTCCTCTCCATAGATGATCAAATTGCTACATAACATAAACTATCTAGCCAGCAATGAAGTATTTTTGGTGACCTGAAAAGGCAATACAAATTCTCAAACCACTTTTTTCTCTTGAAGCAAGAACCCATGACTTAAAAAGTGTTATTTTGTGTCAATTAGAAAGTGTTCCTTTGCTAACAATTGGCATTTATTGTCTTTGTGGAATTGAAGTCAAACCCATAGCTCATATGCTTACTTGTTAACAGACAGTAGTGTCTATCAATTAGTTGAAAAAGACATAGAATATTCACAACTATTCAAATTTTTAAAAATCCTTTAAGGCCTGAGAAACAATGTAAAATTTCACAGTAGATTCACGGTGCACAGCTATTGTATTGTTCTGTGTTCTGAATGTCTTCTATGAAGCGTTACAAGCAGAAATGTGCACACTTCTGAATTATATATGAAAAATACACAAGAAGCACGCAACCTGCACACTGATACTCAGAATTAATTCCACCATGTGTAGCTATCATTGATTTTACCTCTCAGTTTTATTTCATGCTAAAATAAGTTCTGTTGGACTAAATGGATTTATAATGCACATCTATGATAGAAACAGGAATAAATGAAATAATTCTCACATTTCTACATCTCTTAAAGCTGAAAAGCATTTAAAAATTTTATATTCGTAGAACTTATAGGTGCCTCATGATGTAGCACATTGGTCCAATAAGACGCAGCACAATGGTGGAACATGGTTCCAACCTGCCTTTGCAGTTCTGCATATAGCCCAAGATTTTCCCTACATGAGTAACAGATTTATAAATTTATAGTTTATAAAGAAGCTTACAATTTCATTAACCACAACCCACATTCTTGGTCTCAACTGGACTCTGGATAGTGTGTTGGGCACGGAAGGACAAAGCCTTAGGTGAGAGTTAGGCACTTAGGAGGAAAGATGACTTGGATCACTCATCAATTCAGGCCAGACTGGTGAAGCATTTGGTAGCTCACTTGAGAACTATAGCCATGGCAAGG